CCGGCATAGGAGGCCGCGTGCCTCGAACATTGGACGCAACGTGCGCTGACGGAGGAGAGCGCCGACGGTGAGCGGCGCATGCAGAGGGAGCGCGAGAAGGAGGAATAGCGCGCCTGCGGCCCGCCTCGCTGCAATGCCGCCACCGCAGCAGACGCCGAAGGAGGCTGCCCTGGCGGCCTATCAAGCCGCGTTTGAGTGGGTTGGGCCACCTCCCGTCTTCATTGACCTCACCGGCAACGACGACAATGGCAAGGGCAAGGACAAGGCGGACAACTAGGGCAGCGTGCGGGCGCTTATGTTTTTTTAATGGTTAATTCTATACCTACAAATAAAACACCTCCCCCTGCCCTCCCCCACTCCCTGCCAGGTCAATTCCCGCTGCTAAGGTTCCCCGTCGCCATCGGCTCCCCACGTGCCCGGCGCCGGAGATGGCTGCGGACGCGAGGAGGACGACAAGGCGGCCGCCGTGCTCGCGCGGGAGGAGGGAGGCCGCCTCCATCTGTCCGCCGACGGCCACGTCCACACAGAGGAGCTGCCGCCACCGCCTGTCGTTGCCCCGCGACGCACAAGATTGGCCATGGCCACCTCGTTCGTCTCGGGAGAAGATGCTTGCCCGCGTTGACCCCCTGCAATCGTCCGCCAGCTGGGCCGCGCGCGCAGAATCAGCTCGGATGGTGGCCGTGAGTGCAGTGCAGTGCGTCGTGGCTGCGGAGGAAGAGAGCGGGAGAGATGGTGGCGGTGCCCTCCGCTACACTGAGGTCGTTCAGGGAATCTCTCAAGGTGATCAAGGCCGACATCCAGCATGCCAGCATTGTTAACGTCGCGTCTCCGACTACTCGAGGGACTATGACAGGCGTATTGTGCAGATGCCGATGTCCTATAGCCTCGACGCAAACTGCTTCCTCTTCCTCCACTCAGTGAACGGTCTGCAATCTCACCGCCGCACTCAGCCTCCTCGGTTCCTCAGCTACAAGGCTCAGTCTTTGCGTTTGTGGGGTTTGATTCAAGAATTGGTGGCATATTGTGGTCACTGCACTTGTGTTCTTGTGGTAATTGTGCAGCTTTATGTTGCAGTTTGGAGTTTGGACCTATGATACTGATGCCCATTGTCTGTCTATAGCTGTGACATTTTTTTCCCCTCATGCGACTGCAACGAAGGGGTGCGACAAGCAGAGGGCAGTTTGCTCGGAGTTAGTGGCGAGCAAGAGGTCGGTCTCCGAGATTGACGCTGACAGACAAGGAGTGTGAGGTCTGCGTGGAGTTAAAAAACAGCAGGGGTTGTGCTGCCCAACTTCAGCCATGATATGTGCATCAAGTGCTACCATGAATGGTCAATGGTGAGAACAAGAACCTGATCCCCTCACCTTTTTTTCTGTCATGCTCAACCATAGCAACCATGTATGGTGTTTAGTTTAATGCCGTCTTCAGAGCTAGCTTAGTCGATACTAAATGTCCCGTGCTATTAAGTGCGTCACCAGTCACCACCAGAGCCTCTTTATTCAGATGTCTATCCCATAAGTAAGTTGGTGTGACCATCATTTATGGAAAAATATGCAGCAACCTCTGTATCTGCTTACCAGTTTTGTGCTTGGTTCTTACGAGGTCTGACTTTCACCACATACATGTAAGTATTAGAGATTTACAAGGTCAAATTTTTCTTTAGAATTTTATATGGCAAGTTCACCACATACATGTAAGTGAACTTAATGAGGTTTTAAGCTGCCAAATCAAGTTGCATTTAGATTCTGTTAGATTGACTGCCATACAGCTTTCAAACCCGGCTGACAATCATGGGGTTTTACATTGCATGTCTACTGTAGCAAAATGACTACAGGGAATTCCTTATCAGCTAGACGAGCAGAAGGAATGCACAAACTACTTACCGGTTCATAGTCCCTCACACACCAAAAAAGAAAACTTGCCTTTATACATTCAATGCATGAGCAGACAAGCTTTCTCTGCAGATGAACAATTATATTTCACTAAACTGCCTCCTGTCAAAAAATTGCTGTGGTCATTCAACCATGTATTTATAAGCTAAAAATTCACATTTGAGATTAGTCTGGATCAATGATAAACATGTCCAGGCTCCAGATTATTCCATAAAGCATATTATGATTATTCCTTTATCTGGTTGATGGTTTCGGCTGCACCTCATGTTTTTGCATTCACTTTCATCTAGGATGCATGTGTATTTGTGGGTTATTTTTCCTTAGCACCTGACGCATGCCATTTGGGCCTTCCAACTTTTATTCATCTGCATGTATTAGGAAATTTATGAAAATGGTTTATTCTTTTGTTTATCATCGTTTCTGTTCTTACATAAGCAACCATCCTCAGGTGTTGGTTTTTCATTTCCGTTCGACGTCATTAAATTAGTCTTACCTGTTTTGAAATGGTTCCAGCGTCATTAAATTACAGTCTTACCTGTTTTGAAATGGTTCCAGCGTGTGCTTGATGCATTGTTCCCCTTAGTTTTGGAGGAACATGTGCTATTGCCGGTGCTTTTGGTTGTGAAAAAACTTTCATTAGTTGGGCACTTTAATTATGAAGTGACCACCTTACTGTCATGTTGTCATAGCTGCATAAAAAGCTTCTTCTATAATATTTTTGTGGTACCATGTCTATACCACTACTGAGTTTTAAAATCTCCACAATACTACAATTTTGAAGTTGTGGTTTATGTGGGATGCGATGAAAGAGGAAATGAGATGGCCGAGTTCTCATGGATTTCCCCCAATCGACAATGACATTGACCAATGAATGTGAAGGGTGGAGCCGCTCCAAGTGTGTGGCGAGCTCACCATGGTGTCCTTGCTCTAGATTGAGAGCTGACAACTATGATCCGACGAGCCACCTTGAATAGAAGGTACACCGGGATGTGTTTTGGGTGATGAGGAGCTCGTGATTTCCAGGTCGGACTGTCCTCCTAGATCATTGGCATTGTCGTCATGCTCGCCAATCGGGGAAACATGTGCAAATGACACCCTAGGATATCTGACAAATCTTGTGCCGAAGGCTGGAATCTCGCCTCACTCAACCCATTGGCACTCATCACCTACACAAGGATATGGACAACTTACTTTTGTCCCATGGCAACGCACGGGCATGTGTGCTAGTAGTGTTTAAGAGGACTTTGGTCGGCGGTTGACTGGCCATTTATTTTAATTACAGTATTTTATTAAATTTATTTCGGACACATGGGCAAAATTGGGTATGCCTTCCATTGGGCACACCAGCCGACCCAAATCAAAAAGCGGACGCGCACATCCGCCTGGCCGACCCAAACGGACAAAGCGTGCGTCCGTTTGGGTCCAGTCCAATTGTTGTCCGTTTGGGTCGGCGCGTTGGAGTTGCTCTTACAGCTCTTGTGTCTCGCGCCGTAGTGGATTATTGGTGGTTGACTTGCGTCTCAAGGACCACAAGTGCATGCAGACAAGATTGTCTTCCTCAACAAAATGCGAGAGGTGAGAGCTATACATCCGGGCCCTTGGGTACTTTGAAGTGACCTCAATATGACCCACCACGACGAGGACGTAACAACCTCCACCGCCGCACAAGGGGCGCTGCTACCTAAATGATTTTGCGAGCTCAAAGAGTTGTACCTTCATGGTCAACGCTACACGTGGTCTAACGAGTGTGGTGCTCCCGTGTTGGTCAAGCTTGAGCACGATGAACTAGGAGGAGCTCCACCCAAATTGTTCGCCTCGCTGTCTCCCCACCTTTATCTCCGACCACTACCCCTTCTGGATTGCACACCATGGCCTCCCTGTAGAGGACGTTTCTAGTTCGAGACTTGTGGGGCCAAGGAGCCTGTATTCAACAAGACGGTTGTTGAGGGTTGGGCGGCCGCGATCGATGAGCCCGACCAGTTTTGACGCCTCGCCATGCGGCTTAAGAACAAAACTCTTCAGTTGAGGAGTTGGAACGACAAGCAGATGGGTAGTATCAAACTACCACTTGTGCTGGCCAGGGAGCTCATCTTCCGCTTCGATGTTACCATGGAGTTGAGGCAGCTCTCGGAGCTTGAGCGCCAGTTGCGTGCTAGGCTGAAGCACGCCTACCTAGGACTCGCTTTGCATCATGGCTAGGCAACGTTGGAAGATTGCCTGGTTGGCTGAGGGTGACACCAACCTCCTACAAAAAGCAAAAGCAAGTGATCCACAGCCTTGTTGCCGACGAAGCGGTGGTTTCTAACCACGCGACTATGGCCAAGGCTAACTTCGATCACTTCAACATGCTTCTTGGCACAAATGAGGGCTGCGAGTTCTCACTGAACCTAGAATTACCAGGGTCATGCTTGGAGAACTTGGCCAGCCTCGACGACCCCATTAACGAGGAAGCTTAGGAGGTGGTTTGTCAGCTGTTGCGGGGGTAGGCGTCAGGGCCAGACAGATTCACTGTGGAGGTCCTGCGATCTTGTTGTGGGAACCGTGAAGGATGATGCATGGTAGCCTTCACCAAGTTGCACTCGTTGCGTGGGCAGGGTTTCCATGGTCTAAACCAAGCCCTGCTAATCCAGTTGCCCAAGACATCAGATCCATCGACCCTTCGGGACTACCACCCCATCAGCTTCATACACATCTTTGCCAAGGTGGTGGCCAAGACGTTAGCTAGCAGGTTGCCTCCCAGATTGGGGGGCTTGGTTGAGGAGAACCAATGCACGGTCATCAAGAAATGTTGCATTCATGATAATTTCATGTTGGTTCAGCAGACGGCAAGATATCTGCATGGTGCAGCAGATGGGTGAGTCGCGTGCCATGCTCAAGTTGGATATCGCTCATGCATTCAGCTCGGTGTTGTGGGCTCTATTTGAGGTACTTCAGCGGGTAGGCTTTGGCCAGCGCTTCCCTGAGTGGATTGCCATACTCCTGTCCACTGATAGCACAGGAGTGATGCTCAATGGTGAACCAGGGCCTCTGGTCTGGCATCATAGGGGCATGTAGCAGGGGAACCCGCTCTCCCCTATGTTGTTTGTGTTGGTGATAGACACTCTCAACAGGTTTTTTGCTAGGTTATAAGAGAGTTCGGATTGCTCCGTTGCCTAGCAACACGGGTCCTGACAACTCCATCTCCCTGTACGCGGACGATGTTGTCATCTTCTACCACACGGATAGGGTGAAGTTGTTCATTGTCCGTAGCTTGCATGCGCACGCTTCGGGGTTGCACACCAACTTTGCCAAATGTTCGGTGTCCCCCGTTAGGTGTTAGGAGGAGGCCTTGGAGAAGAAATCGGTGATGGAGTGTCAGCTAGCTCCTTTCCTGAATAAGTACCTCAGGATCCCACTCAGGCTCAGGAAGTCCTCGTGTAAGGCTTTCCAACCTTTGGAAGACATGATCGCAAACCGCCTGGGCATCCATGATGGCAAAGGCGGGGCGCCTCACCTTGGTCAAGTTGGTCCTGGCCACCATGCCTTTGCAGTAGTCCTGGGCATGCAAAAGAAGACCCGAAAGACTTGACAAACCGCCTAGGTGTTTCGGACCTTGGTCAAAACGCGATCATCTTCGACAAGGTGTGGCTCAACTTGACACACCTACTTGACACATTCAATACAGAGGGCAGGCAATGGCCACTGACAAGTGCGAGGGGTCTGGTGGCTTTGCTTCCAGCATTTACCTTGCCTAGCAACTATGACCGTCGGGTAGTATTCTCTAGGTGTTGCCCATCTTTGGGCTTGTACAGACTCTCCTTTCTATCAATGCAATGAAACAAGGCTTTTGTGATTTCTTGGGAGAAAAAAAGGTTGTTGGCAAATTACATTTGAAGACGACTTTTAGTAGAACATAAGAGACATTGGCATACTCAAAATTGTCGGTGGTGTGCATGATATGGTGCAGGTGAATAAAGTAGACACAACAAACCAACAATGAACTACTCCCTCCGTTCCTAAATATTTGTCTTTTTAGAGATTTCAAACGGACTACCACATACGAATGTATATAGACATATTTTAGAGTGTAGATTCACTCATTTTGCTCCGTATGTAGTCAGTTGTTGAAATCTCTAGAAAGACAAATATTTAGGAACGGAGGGAGTATCATGCATCATGCATGACTCTGCAAAGGTGAAAGTTCAATGTACTGAGTGTGCTTGATATCCCTAATATAGGAGGTATCAGATCACTTCATGGACATTTTTTATCAATCTATTGCTTGGATGTAAATATTGGATGCGGAAATATGTGGAAAGAAAATTGTGTGCACCCTCGTTCACTCCATTACTCAAGTCAATGCTAAACCACATAAGGTCCATCACTCATCGAACTTTGAAGGACACCTTTGGTCCTTCAATGAACCCTGGATCATTTGAACACACGACGGCATCTAGATTGCAACATCTCAACCAATTCGCCGGTAACAGCAATCGTCGCTGGTTACAATTTGTGCGACTCGGTAGGAGAACAGTAAGACAGTTGACCTTCCAAGTGACAACTATGATCATATGGCATAGATATGTATGTTTAATTGTTAAGGATCTGATCCTAGTAGTTAGTAAACATTTCTCACTGAAAATATAAGAGCAAATTATACTGCCATAATAGAGAGGCAGAAGAAAAGCAAATTGTGTTGAGCATTTATCTTTCTGATACGTGAACTCATATTAAATTAACTATTTATTAATCCTATAAAAAATGCCCACACTACAATACACTAAGAAGCTATTGGTTCAGCAATATCCCACCAGAATCGCACTACATTGGTATGTGATTCCGGTAACTCTTATTATACCACTTCCTCAACAGAACACATGGGATCTAAAACCATTTCCCTGATTGAACCACTGCGTCAACCATGCATTACCCACCTCCCTGTAATCCTACTACAATTGAACTAACACTACAGCTCTTGAACAAAACATCACCTAATAATTATTACAGCAACAGACCATGCCAACAAGAGAAAATGACAAACATGCTAGTGATAAAAACTCGACCATGTTTCTGAGGTGTACGGCATTAAAAAAGTGCTTATAATTTGTCAACAACAAGAACTCCAATTCAAGGTATTAACTGTTGACTTTCGACAACCAAAAAAGGCCATGAATATTTTTTTCTCCAACAATGAGCATGACAGAAATTAAAAGAGCAAAACAAAATTATCAATTTAGAGCGAACCTGATGGCCATGGCATAGCCCTAGCTTGAACTGACCAATAGTAACTGTTTTAGTCTCTGGGTAGCGAGCATCCTCATCATATTCACCTCTAGTAATGTGGAGATCAGGACAGAGGCTTTTAAGGTAGTCGTGAACTTCCTAGAAGAACGTTGAGAAATTTATGAGTTAATATTTTATCAAAACAAAAAATTACAGTCCATACAAGAAAACATTATTAACACCCTATTAATAGGTGCAATACCCAGCCACAAGGAAACAAAAATCACTACATGAAATGGTACAAAGTCAACTATTTCTTCACAAAGATGGTTAGCCAGTCATCTCTACTTACTATTAAACGAGCAAATATATTCTTCCCTAAGCGCACCCGAAAACATGTATACAGGACAATCAAAATAAAATACCACCTCACGATCCAGCCCATCTAATTATATCTAACCGTCCACATAAAAATGAACCCTCACCTGTGTACGATTAGCAGTTTACCAGAGCGGACGAGAACGCTGCCATGTATCAAGCGAGCGAACGGAATGTTTCGCTGCGTGACCAAAAAATAAATTGATTCCCGTGATTAGTTGCCTGCATGCAGCCGCATAGCCCACGATTCAGCAATATGGCGTTCACATGGATTGGTTCGGCCTGCTCAGGTATTAATGGCGAATTAAAAGGGAGGATTTGTTACCACGCAAAAGAAGGGAGGATTAGCTGGAGAGAAGAGATGAGGAATGTGTGGGGCATGCACCAGCGATAGGGTTTCGCTGCCGCCGTCCCGTGTGCTGCTCCGCCCGCTACATCTCCTCCCCGCACGACTCTCTGGCCTCCAAGCTTCCAAGTCTACCTTTCTCCGCCCTTGCTCGCCGTATCCTTAGGTCACGGTTCGCCCCCGATGTATCGATGCCGTTGGCCGTCGATTCTGCCGTTTCGTTCCTGCTGTTCTTGGGTAGGTGCTCCTCCCCCTGCAGTCCTCCCTCGCCGCCGCGCCTGTTGGTATGCTGACAAGGACCAAGATGTGCTGGAATTACGCCAATGCCGGCAGGCGGCCTCCATCGTCAATCGTCTGCTGGTGCTGGTGCTGGTGCTGGTGCCTGGTGATCAGCTGCATCCAATGGAGAAGGGACGGTGCGACCATCCATGTTCTGGAACACGCGGACCAATAGATCCACCCCAAAACCAGTCGAATACGAATGCAACCTGTAGGTACATTTTCTGTCTCTCTCTAATACTATTTTTTTTCTCTCACAGTGACATATCTGCACCTTCGGTCCTTTCTCGCTGCTAATCTTCTTTCCCAGGCGAGCGCCCACGCAGTACGAGACTCAGTTGAACGATGACAGTTGGCCAGAAGCGTTTGATTTTCTTTGTGCATTTTGGTGACTGGATAGAGCTTTGATATTATCACCAAACTCATTTCATTGTTTGCTTGCAGTTTACGTATTGGATTTGCCATGCAAAACATTCTATCTAGGCAACATCTTTTTGTTGAAGATGTACGTGGGTGTTTTCCACTGTTTTCCACTTGCATATATGAAATATGATGCATGCATCATGCCTAGCATGCTTAGGCAGAGACCAACGTATATCTCTACTGTGATTTTTGTATTATCTTGTTCTTTTGGGGACGATCAATAAAGGGTGCAGCAACCCAAGACTATTACCGTTTCTTGAAACGCAGGTATCAGCTCGTTCACCGCATCTTAATGTATTGTGTAACTCCTCTTTCACAGCTATCGAAATATTTAGATTATCATTTTAACTAATGCCCATACCATCGTAAGCTATGAGCAGACAGGTGAGTCTTTCCCCACTGCTCTTGCCTATTCATTCTCTGTACTTTTGACAAATCCAAGTTGTTTTTTTCTCTCATGCAGTAAGTTACACTAATGTACTATTCTGAATTGCATTTTCCAATTTAATATCCTTTTATGCACTGCAATGCCTGAATACTTTGCGGCGTGCATGCTGTTGCAATTCCAGTACTTGCGCTCCATTATCCTACTTCATTTTAGAAATTATGCTTTGTACGTGCTGCATCATCAAGCCTTTTTCAAGAGGCATCAGTGCAAGATTTTGAAGAATTGGATTCAGTGAAAATTGAGTTCTCACCAAACGGGCAAATATCTTCCAGGTCAGGTACAAGTTTTCTTGCAGTTCTTGCTCCTGCCTTCCGACTCCATATTATATAGCATGGAGGAGAGGGGAAACAATGAAGCCTAAATGGAGTATGTAGTTGTGCTTTTTTCTACCAACCACAAATAGTAGGCATGTAGTACTGATATTGCATTTCAGTTATTGTTATCCTTGGAACAAATATTAGCTTTGTAATGAAGTAGAAGTGACGGTCTTCGCATTTTCCACAGGAAATTCCTAGCAGATAGTGTCTTCATATATGTACTGGATAACGAATTCATTGTTTGCTTGCGGGTTACATCTTGGATTTATGTGTCTAACTTGTTTGTGCCATGGCGTGCAAACTGTGCAGATCTTGCTTCTGGTGAAACATACACCACTCTTCTGGTGTGCCAAGTGCCTCTCCTTTTCATTTGGGGCTGCGTTCACTTTGAATGTAATTTTTACACTTGTAAAATGATAAAGAGCACATAACGTGTTTCCCCAAAAATATAGATTAATGTCTAGCTTATAGAGATAATAAACCGTCTTCATTTTACTGGTAAATATTGAGGGCTCCTTTGATCCAACAAGCAAAGTTGAGGGTTGGGTGTGATTGTTGAAAGTATGGCGAGTTGATTATTGCTACTGCTGTTGGGTATGTGCAACAAGGAAGAAGTTTTTGACTTGTTGAAGACAGAAGGTATAGCAGTTCTCAACCTGATGTAGTATTGGCGTCTAACGGGGCATTAACAAGCTTTGTATAAAAAAATTAATTTGCTTTCTTGGTGGCAACTCTCGGAGGGAAGGAGCATCATGTTGTGAACATGGTTATCTTCAAAACATTTTTTTTGTTGGTTAGCTGTTTCCATAAAGAAATAGTCAATGTTATTTCTCATGCATCAACTTATTTTAGTGGAGCTGAGCACTATGAGGATTTGTAAAGGCTTTGGAGTTGCTAATCTGAACAGCCATTATGATAAATGGAAGTTGTCCATTCATCTTTTTTTTTGAGGAAACATGTGCTTTCATCATATAAAAGATCTACAATAAGCATCATTGCCCAGCGTCTGGATATAACTCGGTAATATCTGCTTGGGTTTGTCCCAATTAATTGGACTAGCCCCTTTAGTCCATGTATTTGTATCATCCAGTGCAGCTAAGTGTATCTAGCAAATGAGTGCGACTGGGTTATTGAAGGCGGCCGAAGAAGCGCATCCACCTTACACCTCACCTCCGGCTGCCTTCGCTATCTTGTGAAGTTTGGGTTTGTATCCTTGTAAGACTTCTTTTTATCTTGCTTTTCTTGGTTCGATTTTTGTGGTGTCCATCCCCCATGATATCAGATGCAGCTAGGGAAACTAAATGTCGCTCCATGCTTGAAAACGCTGGTGCCAAGAAGCTCAGTTAGGATATAAAATAACATGCTGATCAGCCATGCGTTGCACGTGCATGCTTACTAGTCATACAAAATAGTTGAAAAGCAACAAATAGTCTGCGATGTTGAGCATCATGACCCAACACTTCACAGGTTCACATCTATAATCCTATTGAATAATACATCGACTTCTCTTTGTTACTTTTCCCATGGCTTTCAATTAGTTTGACACGCAACCACCCAAATTCCTGTTGCTTCATCATTAATTAATAAGGCATTAAGATATAGCATCACATGCTTACCAAACACCTAGGTTCCATTAAGGCATTCTAGTGGCACTCTAGTGTTTTTGGCAAGCCAAAATATTAGTGTCTGAATCACAAGATAGCCTCAGGATGCAATCCATAATGACAAATGTGTTGGTTCATTTCAGTTTACAGGTCAATATAGCATCGACAGTGCAACAAGACTAACATAAACAATACCATACAACTTTTGAAATTGATGTGTTTGGGATTGACATGTAGAAAGCATATGGTATGAAAAATAAGATGATGATAAAATTGGTTAAAACCTATACATGGTGTACTATGCCTTAAGTGTTCATTGGGAAAAAAACTGGAAACCGTTTCAGCTCGCAAAAACAGGTGCAAGTAGATAAAACTTGATGTTAATGGACCATCACAAAAAAATGCGAAGCGCAACAATCATTCAATCAGAAAAAATCATCAGAGAATTAAAATTTGCAAAACAATAATAAAACTCCATGAGATAGATGTACTATTGTCAGCAGCTTGGTAAAAAAAATCTTCACGCTGGCTCATTCAAAGACTAGGTGGGCACTAATGTTATCTTTCTTCTTTCTGATCCATATTTTCAAAGGAACAGAGATTGTGATTACCCTTTCAATAAGTATCAGGAAAATTTCATAAACTGGGCATGGTGGGAATAAGTTTAGATACTTTTTTTGTAAAATAAGTTACTCTAAGCAATCAGACAATAAATAAACTAATGATAATTGAGCAATAAGAACAAAGAGAAACGATGATTTAATAATATTTCAGTTAATTATTTGGAACCAAAGGTACATTCAGGATTGGTGGAACTAAAATTTATTATAGCTGCTCCAATATAAAAAGTAAGCAGTACCCTTTAGATACCATGTATGTTTTGATCAAAGAAAACATGACCACCAAACTACTAGTCTACTACAGAGAAAGAAAACAATTTTGTAGTTTTTCTAATATGATTTCTTGTATTTAAATTTAGAGATTATGTCATGGCCTAAGTTCCTGAGGGGATAGTGGTGGCTGGTGGGAGGTCAGGGGCAGCGAAGGTTGCATTTGTCTGCCGTGATGTTAAGGGAAGATAGGACTGTGGAGAAGAACCCTCCCTTTTCTGTTTTACATTTATTGCTTGTGTTTCTCAATACCAGTCCAGGGCATAATATAGCCTGCAGTTTACATGACTTGAAAAGTAAGAACTTATATAAGCACATGCATCGTTCTGTGAGTAAGCGTGGTACTTTTCAGAATGGGAAGATACATGATGATCATACAAATTTCTACCACCGCCTGCATAGTTCTGAGAGATAGGCGTGATATTTATACAGAATGAAAAAAAAAAACTGCGTAGATAACGAACCAAGAGAGGAAACTGTTGTCTCATGCCTACTCCCTCCGAAGCTCAAATCCCCCACACGTCTACTGCAAAACCGCATCATACAGACAAGCAAGCTTATGCCGATCGATAATCAGTCCACATGCCCAGGACGGGTGCCGTTGGTCCGAAAATCAACACGGCGACACCCAATAATAACTGAACAAGGAACAAAATTTGTCTAACAACCAATAAGCATGGCTTCACGAACTAGTCGTAGTCGGTCAACCAGATTTGACAGACCAGAGACACCGCGATCCAGCAGCAATCACGCGCACGCGGCATCGAGCATGTATCACGGGGATAAAAGGAGACTGACCTTGATGCAGAGGTTCCCGGTGCAGATGATGTGCTGGATCTTGCCCGGGACGAGCATGGACTTGAACTTGGCGGGCAGGTCGGGCGCACGGTGCGGGATGTGCAGATCCCCCAGCGCTAGGACCAGCACCATTGGATTGGGGATCGGGGGGAGGAAGGGGGACGGCGGCGGAAGGTGGAGAGCGATCCGAATCGCTCAGCCCGCTCTGCTCTCCTGGAACGCGATGATCAAATCTTCCACTCAAATCCCTAGCACGATCGATACCCCTCAAACTTGTTGGGACAATTCACTTCCGTCCTCATCAAACTTCCAAAGCGGCAAAGCGTCCAGCCTGAAGGTCTTCCCCTCGAAAACAAAACAACTGAAGGTCCTCAAACTAAATTACGCGTTCATCTACGGCCTCCTTTGGTTTGGTTTAGAAGAATTTTATAGGAATTCTAGAGGATAGGATTCTTATAGGATTTTTTCCTTTACAGCCCTTTGGTTCATAGGAATGGATTCATATTCCCACATAGGATTGGTTCCTATCCTCCATATTTCATAGGAAAATAAAAAAGAGCCTAGACTCAATGGAAAAATTCCTTTGGTGTTTTCCTATTCCTACTCGAAGGCTTTTTTTGGTTCATAGGATAGGATTATCATAGGAATAGGAATCTTGTAGGAAATGAGATGACATGTATCTCAAATCCTATGAGTAAGAATAAGAAACAAGATGTCATTTGGTTGACACTAAAGGAATTTTTCCATTGAGTCTAGGCTCTTTTTTATTTTCCTATGAAATGTGGAGGATAGGAACCAATCCTATGTAGGAATAGGAATCCATTCCTATGAACCAAAGGGCTCTAAAGGAAAAAATCCAATAAGAATCCTATCCTCTAGAATTTCTATAAAATTCCTCTAAACCAAAACCAAAGGAGGCCATAGGATTTGAGATACATGTCATCTCATTTCCTACAAGATTCTTATTCCTATGATAATCCTATCCTATGAACCAAAAGAGGCCTAGAGTATTTCTTTTCAAATCCATCCTATGTGTTTCGCTAACGTGGAGGTGTTACTCGGAGCAGAGCCCTTCAAAATTGTTGCGCATCCAATGCTCTACAATGGATGTACCATACTTTCTTTGTATGAAGATCAAGGGTGAGTTGGCTGAAGTTTAGGAATCGCAACACGGGATTATTTTTATAGTTTTGCATACGTCAGAAGAAAACGTAACAGAATTTCCCGTCTAGAAAATGGCATGGGCCAGCGGCTAATTGGTACAAGTGCGATTAATCCTCTCATTCATTCTTATTTCAATAATCTCTTCACCTGAGGTGTATGAGAGAGATCCTCCTTGCAAAAGTGAAAGAAAAAGCTACTGTCCAAATGAATGAGATGTTGCTTAATCCTTATTCATCGGTGGAGGTTAAAAATGTCATTGATAGTATTGGTGATCTTAAGGCCTCGGGGCCGGATGGGCTACATGCTATCTTTTATAAAAAAATATTGGCATGTCTTCTTGGACGATATTACTCATGAAGTTCTTCACGCACTCGACTTGGGTATGATCCCGGAGGGGTGGAATAATATTGTGGTGGTTTTGATACCTAAAGTTGATTCTTCTGAATCGATTATTCAATTTCGTCCTATAAGCCTTTGTAATGTTATCTACAAGATAATCTCTAAGATGCTTGCTAATCGACTGAAGACCATTTTGCCTGAGATCGTTCAAAAAAAAGAGTGCTTTTGTGTCTGGTAGATTAGTAACAGATAATATATTGGTAGCTTATGAGTGCGTCCATAAAATCAAGAACAAGAGAAACGGGTAACCAGGGCACTGTGACGTCAAGTTGGACATGCATAAAGCATATGACAGAGTTGAATGAGTCTTTTGAGGAATATGATGCTGAAGTTGGGTTTTAATGACTAGTGGCTGAATTTAATTATGAATTGTGTTTCTTCGATGAAATACACAATCGGTATAATTCCCAAGAGATAGAAGGAGTCACACCAACAAGAAGCCTCCAACAAGGAGACCATTTATCCCCGTACTTATTTCTTCTGTGTGTAGAAGATTTATCTAGTATACTACAATTTGAAGAAGCTGGTGGCATTGATGGGGGTTTTGAACACAGTACAGACGTCAGCGCTCATATACACGCGCATACACTCATGGTGTGTAGAAATGCATCATCAGTCTCACACCTTTTATTTGCTGATGATTCCCTAATCCTCATGACAGTGGATATGTTAAATGCAGCTTCCTTACAACGAGCACTAGATGATTATTGCACTAACTCTGGCCAACTGATGAGTAGATCAAAATCAAGCATATTCTTTAGCCCTAATACCGGTGTGGTGGTGAGGGCAGAAATTTATCAAGAATTACATATTGACACTGAAGCACTCTTAGATAAATATTTAGGCTTACCGGCTCTGGTAGGAGTAGATAGGAGTGATTGCTTCAAGAATTTTGTTGAGAGAATCAGAGAAAGAATTTGTGTTTGGATGGCCAAGCTTTTTATCAATGGGATGTAAAGAATTATTGTTGAAAGCAGTTGCTCAATCTATTCATGTGTTTGCCATGTCGGTGTTTAATATTCCCAAGGGGGTCTGTAAGGACATAACGGATCTTATAGCACAGTTTTGGTGGGGAGGGGATGGATATAAGAAAATTATGCATTGGTATGCATGGTGGAAGCTATGTAATCCAAAGAAGATGGGAGGGATGGGGTTTCGAGACCTTCACTCCTTTAATTTGGCCATGCTAGCTAAGCAGTGTTGGAGATTCATAGCTAGTCCAGATTCTCTATGTGCTAAGGTGTTGCATGTTAAGTACCATCCAGATGGCAATTTATTATTGGTTGGCCCAAAAATGGCTCCTCTTTTACTTGGCAAAGTTTGGTAGCGGGGCCGCAAACTTTTAAAAGGGGCCACATTTGGCGCATTGGTGATGATAGCAAGGTTAATATTTGGACTGGTTCGTGGATTCCATCTAGTCCAGACTGTCATATAATAACTCCTAGGGGTCAAATTTTAATCTTCAAGGTACCGGACCTAATTGATCTGACAAATGGAGAATGGGATGAAGAATTGATTAGATCTATATTCAATCCAATGGATGTTGGAAAACGTAGCATGCAATTCAAAAAAATTCCTACGCTCACGCAAGATCTATCTAGGAGATGCATAGTGATAACCCACAAGTATAGGGGATCACAACAGTCTTCGAGGGTAGAGTATTCAACCCAAATTTATAGATTCGACACAAGGGGAGCCAAAGAATATTTGAAGGTATTAGTAACTGAGTTGTCAATTCAACCACACCTGGAGATTAATTATCTGCAGCAAGGTGATTAGTAGCAAAGTAGTATGATAGTTTTGATAATAGTAGCAGCATCAGCAACGATAATGGTGATAACAATAATTTTGTAGCAAGTGTGATAGCAATAGTAACTTAGCAAGAACAATATAAGATAAATTCGTAGGCATTGGATCGGTGACTTGTTGCATGATATTCATCATGAGACGGTTATAACCTAGAGCGATACTGCACTAGCTCCAGTTCGTCAATATAATGTAGGCATGTATTCCGTAAATAGTCATACGTGCTTATGCAAAGAACTTGCATGACATATTTTGTCCTACCCTCCCATGGCAGCGGGGGCCATATTGGAAACTAAGGGATATTAAGGCTTCCTTTTAATAGAGAACCGGAATAAAGCATTAACACATAGTGAATACACGAACTCCTCAAACTACGGTCATCACTGGGAGTGGTCCCGACTATTGTCACTCTGGGATTGCCGGATCATAACACGTAGTAGATGACTATAACTTGCAAGATCGGATCTAGAACATAGATATAATGGTGATAACATAAACGGTTCAGATCTGAAATTATGACACCCGACCCCAAAGTGACAAGCATTAAGCATGGCAAAGTCATAGCAACATCAAACTAAGAACATAGTGGATACTAGGGATCAGGCCCTAACAAAACTAACTTGATTACATGATGAATCTCATCCAACTCCTCACCGATCAGCGAGCCTACGAAGGAATTACTCACTCCCAGCGGGAGCGTCATGGAATTGGCGATGGAGAAGGGTTGGCGATGACGAAGAACGAAGATCCCCCTCTCCGGAGCCCCAAACGGACTCCATATCTGGCCTCCCGATGAAGAACAGGAGGTGGCGGCGGCTCTGTCTCGTGGATCACGATAATTCTTTCTCTCTGATTTTTTTTCTAGAAAAATAGGATTTTATAGCGTCAGTTTCAGGGTCTGTGGGGCCACCAGGTGGGGACAACCCACCTGGGCGTGCCCTGGTGGGTTGTGCCCACCCAGGTGCCCCTCTCCGGCAGGTCTTGACTCCAGAAATTCTTATTTATTATATAAAAATTCCTCGCGAAGTTTCGTTCCATTTCGAGAACCTTTATTTCTGCACAAAAACAACACCATGGTAGTTCTGCTGAAAATAGCGTCAGTCCGGGGTTAGTTTCATTCAAATCATGCAAATTAGAGTCTAAAACAAGAGGAAAAGTGTTAGGAAAAGTAGATACGTTGGAGACGTATCAACTCCCCCAAGCTTAAACCTTTGCTTGTCCTTAAGCAATTCAGTTGATAAACTCAAAGTGAAAAAGAAAACTTTTACGAACTCTTTTGCTCTTGTTTGCATAAATAAGCTTAAGCAGCACCCAGGTTTTCAGCCAACATTATAACTAACCATGCTGACAATAACTCTTAAAGATTATATTAACTCATATCAATGATATAATCAGCTAGCGAGCAATAATAAGACATCTCAAATAGCAACACGTTGTCAAAAAACCATGATATAATATGACAATAGTGGTATCTCGCTAGCCCTTTCTGAGACCCCAAAACATAAATGTAGAGCACCTCCAAAGTTCAAGCAGCGACTAAACATTGTAATTCATGGTAGAAAAGATCCAGTCATGATGTACCCCACATTAGCTACACACAATGCATAAGTCATGACAACTGTGCTCTCAGGTTCTAGCGCTTGTTTTAGAAGGTGATGACACAACATAAAAGTACATAGATAGTCCCTTCGCATAGGGAAGCGGTGAATGTTTTTAAAACAGAGATAAATGATATTTTGAGACATGCACCCTTCTCATTTACT